AAGAAGAAGAAGAAGAAGAAGAAGAAGAAGAAGAAGAAGAAGAAGAAAAGAAGCTTAGAACATCATCACTAACTTCACACCTCCTGAAAACATTACTCTAAACATAGGAAGTGGGTGTTAATTTAAGACAAAGAAGTTACACTTTTTGCAGCTTGAAAAAAGAGCAAAGAGCAAAGAAGCTGAAGACAAAGATAGAGTGAGAATTATTTACAATGCTGGAATTAATTAAGTGGCCTTATTAAAAAGGCTTTAAAAAAAGAAGTTGCCATGTAGATCATGGCCCCAATATGGAAACCATCCCATCAAGAGGCTAATTCGCAGACTTTAAGAAACATGTGTATCCTTTTGTTCATGCTCAGCCATCCAGCAATGAGCTCACAATCGGTGTCACTCTCACAAAAGCACAACAAGGGCATGTTTTTAATTCACCATCAGGCCAAACCCCTTGTCACCCATTCACTGGGCTCCTCACTCATTTCCCTTTCAAAAGGACCCCATAAAACATCGAACAAGAAGAGACAACTTGGAAGATATCAATATTTAGATATAAATCCTAAAATTACAGCAGTAACAGCTGGTTTTACACCATGGCTATAAAAAGGAGATCTTTACTAATAAATGAATACATTTTGATTTTTTAAATTGTTTTCTACAAGGTCTATCAATTTATTTATTTGTTTTATTTTAGGAAATTTCTATTGCCTCCTATGCGCACATGGCGACTCAAGGCGGCTTACAAGACTACAATGGCAAATATTTAAATATGGAGCCAGTGGAATGTTTTGTAGTCATCTCATCTAGAAGATGTCAAAGCAAAGCAGATGTTAATGGAACTGTACTTTTGGACAACAATTAGACTATATTAAAAGCTGACATTATTCCCCTCTTTGCTCATATTTGATGTTATTGATCATAAACCCAGCTTATGTATTATTTGAGTATAGCTTCAGAATGAAAACCATCAAATAAATCTGAATTCAAGGAACTAACATTAAATAAAGTAATAAAATATCATATCATATAAAATAAAATAAAACGCAAACGCCTTTGCATCTTTCAGAACCTCTCCAGCCCAGCCTTAAGCATAGAATTTCTCTGCCACTCATTATAGGATTTTTGTTTCTGAGTTTTTATTCCACCTAAGGAAAAAAATAAACCACACAATGACTTTCTGACCAGGCACTAACTCATTTTCCTTTCCAGCCGTAAGAAACATTTCCATTTTGTAAACATTTCTGCCGTTAACATGTGATGCGACATCCGGAAAAATACAGCATCCTTCACTTAATCCTGCAAGGAAAGTTTGAAGGCAAACGAAAGTCCAGGCAGAAGGAGAACATCATGGCTGCAAAATCTAAGGGCCACCCGGCAGCTGACAGAACTGGCAGCAGAGTTGGACAGTAGTGAGGAGGCTGGGGAGGAATCTGGGCTGGGTTTGGAGGCTGAGGAAGGCTCGGACGAGGGCTCTGCATCAGAGGCAGAGATGGGGCCAGGGCAGGCTGACAGTCAGCAGCTGCCTTCGGGTTTGGACAGCAGGGAGGTGGGGTAGCTTCTGGAACCGGTTCCCAGCCTGCACATGCGCAGGGCTACCAGAAGACAAGAACAATTGAGAAAGCAGGGTCAACTCAAGAGTAAGGCCACACCTTGGAGAGGATTGGCCCCTCCCATAGGACGTAAAAGAGGAGCGAACGGGATGTGAGCTTTTGCAGGAAGCAACTAGTTCATCTGGTCAGTTCAAGCTTTGAAAAGTTCTGTTGGGCTCTGTGTCAAGTTTGGCCTTGGACTGCATCTGGAAATTAGTTCTCTGGCAGCATTCCAAGTATGATAAGGTAGGTGTTTATCAACATTCCCCTGAAAGACTTGTTTGTGAAGCCTGGCCGGCTGTGATGTGAATGAACGTAATTCACAGCCGTGGAAATAAAAGAGGTTTTGCCGGGACTAAGAGAGTGTTTTATGCTTTCTCAGGGAAGCCAAGGTCAGAACACAAAGCTCAACAGCACTTTTTTGTGCAGCTGTTGATAAAAGTAGGATCGCCAACATGATGGCCAACCTCCGATGACGGATATGGCAGAAGAAGAAGAAGAAGAAACATTTCTGCAAGTCACTAGAAGGCATCCTTGGCACCTTTTGGGTTAAACCCAAGCCTGGGTAACAAAAAGATTTCTGGAAGGGCCACCGTTGACTTTAGCAGTGACTAAAATACACTGAGGAGGACTTGCCTTCAAGCTCTTGGTGCAGCCCTTGAATTAACCTGCCATTGAATTAACACCTGAATCGAACAAACAAATCCTTGACCCTCTAACCAAGAAGGAGCAGCTTCTGGATCTTGTTGGGTTAACCTGGACACAGATGACAAAGAGAAGCAGGCAAATATTGTGTTTGCATGGTTGATTGGGCAGATTTTTGACCTACCAGCAATCCGAAGAAAGAAGCCAGCTTTGGGCTATCTTCTGGAGAAGGCAGGTGGAGACTGGCATCGCTTGATAACCTTCTTGGCAAAGCTGGTGCGAGTGAAGAGGAGGAGGAGGAAGAAGAAGAAGCTACTAAGATGGATTGTTCTTCTAAAAAGTCTTGGATATCTTCATCGGGGACTTCTTTCTCGGACTCCAGCAGGCCGTATGGTGAGTGCTAAGAAGAGAGAAAGGGCACCTGCCTGAGGAAGTCCATAAAGATAAAATGGCTGCCACAATCCCACCTCTGAATCCCTTGGGGCAATGTTTCTTAATCTTGGGAAATTGAAGATGGGTGGACTTCAACTCCCAGCATTCCTCAAGCTACATGAATTGGGGAAAATGGGCCAATATGAACCTCATTCCCTACTAGCACTGATGATGTGGCCTAGTTTGGTAATGAAACGTCTGCAAGAGAACAAACAAGCTCAGAGTGCACCAAAGACCCTTCTATCTTTATTCTGAGGTTACATGAACAGAATCTTGTAAGATCGAAAGTATTTCTTCCCTCCTTTTCTTTGACTCTCCAGAAAACTGAAGAGGATCCTGATGACCAGGTTGAGCCAGAGGGAGTGGTCAAATGCACCATCAGTTTCGACTCCCTTCACACCCACAAGAGACCTAAATCTAGTCCACTGAGTTGAATTCCACTGACTTCTTATCTCCCACTAATTTCCCTTGACCATTAGTAGTTCAGATTCTCATAGAGAGCTTAAGCTTGCAATAAATCTTTATACACATTTGAACTGCCTGAGCCTCTTGATTTCCTTGGTCCTTGACAGATCCTTTCTGAAACGTTCTCCATGCCTTCCCCTTTCTGTGAGCTGAGCCATCTTCTACATGCCGGCAGTCCCTTTTCAGCCCTCCCGTCTGCTCCCCAAGGCCACTTGCACAGTCATTTAGAAATTCTTAACTGGACCCAATTCACTCTACTTTGCTCATCCAAGACGAACAACAATGCATTCCTTCCTTCCATTTACAACCAAGCTTTCTCCCCCCCAAAGGAGATGAAAACTACCCCTTCCTCTTTGACCCACTTGCTCTCACTCCCCCACCCCAAGGAAAAACAAATAAGATAACATTCAGAATAACCCTAATACTTGGAGACATGCCTTACCCCACGAATCTGGGATTCTGCAGTCGGCGGCATCTGAGATGGTCGTTCAAGTGCACTGCCTGGGGTCCTCTCTGGCTGGACCCCCAGCAACTGTAAAGGTGCCAGATAAGAGCTTCCCACCTCCACCTGCATCTTATCTTCCTTGCGGGGGACCAAAGGAGAAAGATGACGTGGCGTGATGGGTATTTCTCTCTTGGCTCCGGGTCGATGCTCATGGAACGATACCGTGTAAGCCAACCTCCCACAATGCATGGCCAAGTCATTGCCACCAGCCCGGAGAAGCACCATAATATCACTATAACGGTATAAATCTTCGTCCTTGCTGGCAAAGAGGTTTATTCTAGGTTGGTTAGTGCGGGGGTAAATAGCAAAGAAAGCTTCTCCAGTCTTCACGTTGGTCTTCAGGAAGGACCCACGCTGGCGTAAAGCTTCAATCCGCAGACGAGCATCATGGTTTTTATCATTTTTGCAGAAACCTACATTTACCAAAAAAAAAAAAAAAGGAGAGAAAATTTGTAGGGCAACTGGAAGGTTGTGCTACTGGAACAACTTGCCTTCAGGAGTTGTGTCGGTGCTCCATCACTGGAAGTTTTTAAGAAGCAATTGGACAGCTACTTGTCTGAAATGGTGTAGGGTCTCCTGTTTGAGCAGGGGGTTGGACTAGTAGATGGAGATGGAGGAGGAGGAGGAAGAGAAAGAGAAGAAGAAGCTTAGAACATCATTTGTTCTAAGGAAGAGAAGGAGGAGGAGAAAAGAAGAAGTTTAGAACATCTAAGGAAGAGGAGGAGGAGGAGGAGGAAGAAGAGAAGGAGGAGGAGGAGAGGAGGAGGAGAAGAAAAGAAGAAGCTTAAAACATCATTTGTTCTAAGGAAGAGGAGGAGGAAGAGGAGGAGGAAGAGGAGGAGGAGAGGAGGAGGAGGAGGAGAAGAAAAGAAGAAGCTTGGAACATCATTTGTTCTAAGGAGGAGGAGGAGGAAGAGGAGGAGAAGAAAAGAAGAAGCTTAGAACATCATTTGTTCTAAGGAGGAAGAGGTAATACTGTAATGCAATCTTGCTCCTTCATCCTAGATTTCACAGAGCATCAAAATCCTGCAGTACTTTGGCTTTGCAATGCTACATTTCAGATTGCCCCCTTCTTCAAATCTCCCACGCCCCTTTCAGACCCCTCTGAAAGTAAATTCTGCCCCCTTCTTCCACCTCTCCCCTCCTCCTACCTTTGGGCAGGATGAAGAGAAACCTCCGCTTCTCAAACGTGTAGACTTCGCTGAGGTTGGTCTGTTCCACCACGTTGGTGGTGGCCGTGTTGGTATGAAGCGCTTCTCCTTCGTTCACCCGCAGCTGCACCCCAGCTTCTGACCCTTCCACCAGAGGATTTTCGGCGGTCAACCGCAGGGCGTACCTCCCTAGTTCATTAAACTGCACGCTCTCCAGCTGGAAGTCAAGGTCCAGAACCTTCTCCTCGGTCTTCAGGCGGGATTTCTGCAAGGTGGCTGGGACACGGGGCTCCCCTGCTTTTCCAGCCATGGCCAGGAGTATCCCAGAGAAGATCTCCAAAGAAGTATGGATTGTTCAAACCAATAGTCAGTGATTTCACCTACCAGATTAGTAGCATAGTGTCTTCATTCCAAAGAAGAGATTGGGTTGAGTCAACGGGGAGGATGCCATCACTGAAGAGTTCCAGCTGTCTAATATAACTTTGACCTCTGAGCAGCAGGAATGGACCCTTTGTGGAAGAGGATTTGTTTCCATAGAGACCTTGGCCCTCTCCAAATCAGCCTATAACAGTCTTCCCAAGATCAGATCTTCTACTCACTCCTCCATGGGCAGCGATGCTACTCATCACTCATGGCTTCTGAGGAATGTGCTCAGACTGAAGACCAAGAGGTGAAATGAAACTCATTCCTGAATGGGATCAAACCGGGAGCATCTACTCAAGAGTCCAGAAAGCAAGCCACAAAGGAAGAAAGTGACCAGGTGTAGAAGGAAACAAAAGCTGTTGCTCCTTCCATTTGTTTGCAGGGAGCCATGGCAACTTGACACAAGGTGTTGCGGTGACCTTGGATAAACAAGGCCAAGCACGAGCCTTCCCCTAACAGGGGAAAAATAAGAGCAAGGGAGGAGGGAGTAACATGCCCTGTGCAAATCTGCCCCAGAGAATGGACTCAAAGAGATATCAAAATGAATTGCTTGGATTTATTCATTCTTTTAGCAAACGGGGCCCATTTTTCTGCAAAATGCAAACGTTGTTTCATCTCAGGAGCAAGAAAATTCTCCAGGACCAAGTCCAGAGGTGGTATTCAGCCGGTTCTGACCGGTTCTGCAGAACTGGTAGTGGAAATTTTGAGGAGTGTGGAGAACCCTCAAATCCCACCTCTGACTGGCCCCGGCCCCATCTATTCTCCACTTCCCACTGAGTCCCAGCTGATCAACTGGGTCTTCCTTTGTTGCCCTGCACAGGAGAACAGAACATTTTAGGCTCAGAGGTGGTCATAATTTGAGGACTATTACGTTTATTGCAGAGGAAAGTTTGGAGTGACTTTAGGCAACTACCCATCCATCTTTCTCCACCTGCCTACCGTAGCTCCTGGACTCGGTCCTCCTCGGATTGAACTCTTACCTTCTTCTGCGTCTCTGAGTTGGAGGGTCTGCATATTTTGGGCACTTTGCCAACGGAGAAGCAAGAGGCAAAAGGCTTTCATTGCTGGGTGTGATTGGCTGACCTCGATTTTCAAATATGGGCAGTAGGTACGGTGGCCTGCAAGAAAGAGACGGATGCAGAGGTGGTCTTCAGCCTATTCTGACCAGTTCTGGAAAATTGGTAGCAGAAATTTTGAGTAGTTCAGAGAACTGGCCAATCCAACCCCATCTATTCTCTGCCTCCCATTGAGTCCCAGCTGATTGGCTGGGTCTTCTTTGGTTGCCCTGCCCAGGAGAACGGAGCTGGAAAGCAGGTTAGTGGGGTGGGGAGGGAAGGGGGATTTTGCAGCATTCTTTCCCTGCCACACCCACCATGCCACATCCACCAAGCCACACCACGCCAACCAAGCCATGCCCACAGAGCTGGTCGTAAATTTTTTTGAATCCCACCACTGACCAAGTCCCACGTTCTCCACACTTATGCTCAACTTTGCCAGCTTCAAGATGAGTGGGAGCTGAAGTTGTCCCCCCCCCTTAAAGTTGTCAGGCCTGAGTGACAGGTCTAACGAGTGGTCTGATCCCTGCTCCTAATTAGATATTTATTGATGAGGTTTTGGCCTCAGGAAACTTCAATGTAGGAGGAGAACTGGGAGGCTGGAGGTTTCTAGCAAAGTTCCTAGCCCAGCTCTGAGATGTTCTGGGATTGAAGAAGAGGTGAGAAGGTAGAATTGAAAAACAAAAGCCAGACAGAATATCACGAGATATGGAATAAATTCTATCAATGGTGGGAACAAGAAGGAAGGACCCAGAATAAAAACTAATCAGGATTTGTAGAATGGACAATTAAGGTTATGTATATAATTAGAATAGAACAGAATTCTTTATTGGCCAGGTGTGATTGGACACACAAGGAATTTGTCTTTGGTGCATAGGCTCTTAGAGTACATAAAAGAAAAGATACATTTGTCAAGAGTCAAGAATCATAAGGTCCAACACTTAATAATAGCCATAGGGTAAAATAAGCAATCAAATCATACTAGGAAACAGTCAATATAAATCGTAAGGCTACAAGCGACAAAGTTACAGTCATACAGTCACAAGTGGGAGGGAATGGGGGATAAGGAGTGATGAGATTAATAGTAATAGTAATGCAGAGTTATAATTGTAAATAGTAATTATAATTGAACATGATGGATAGTATGACAGATATAAAATAGATAGCACAAAAGATAATATGTATATACTGGATAAGTTAATTGCATACATGTATATAAGATATCTATCATATATTTTAGTATGTATGGCAAAAATCATGCCAGGGCGGCCACACTGTGTCCAATATTTTAATGTGTAGTCAATAAAAAATATTTAAAGGAGGAGAAGAAGAGGAGGAGGAGGAGGAGGAGGAGGAGGAGGAGGAGGAGGAGGAGGAGGAGGAGGAGGAGAAATAGAAGAAGGAGAAGGAGAAGAAAAGAAAAAGAGGAAGGAGGAGGAGAAGAAAAAAAAGAGGAGGAGGAGGAGAAAAAGAAGAAGAGGAGGAGGAAGAGAAGGAGAATCAGAAGGAGAAGAAAAGGAGAAGAGGAAGGAAGAGGAGAAGAAGAAAAAGAAGAAGAGGAGGAGGAGGAGGAGAAGAAAAGGAGGAAGAAGAAGAAGAAAAAGAAGAGGAGGAGAAGGAGAAGGAGAAGGAGAAGGAGAAGGAGAAGGAGAAGAGGAAGGAGAAGAAGAAGAAGAAAAAGAAGAAGAGGAGGAGGGGGAGGAGGAGGAAGAGGAGGAAGAGGAGGAAGGAAGAATGAAAGA